ACAAGGGGCTCCCCCCCCGCTGATGGCGGCCATTGAAAACCAACAGCTCCTGGAGGACCCTGATCTGGGAGGTGGGCCCTGGCTGGGGGGGGGGGTGCCCTGCTGGCTTCAGGCGTGCAGACACCCCCCAGGGCACAGGCAGTCCTGTCGCCATCTTGCAGGGTGGAGGCAGAAGACAGGGGACCACCCCCTCGGGTTTGCCCTGCGGCTCGCTCACTTCCCTTTTTGGGGCGCCATGCCCGGCTCCCCGCCTCCGCCCCCTCCACTTTGCAGGGAGCAGGTTGAAAGGGGCGGGCGCGCGCAGCCGCTGGGAACACAGCTGCCGCACGTAGCCCGGCTCACGTGGCCGCTCCCCGCCAGGGACAGGGGCCCGGACCAGGGTCGTCTCGGCTGCCTGGGCGCCCTCGCCCCCGGCTCCCTGCCCGGCAGCCCCCTCCGCGCCATGCAGCAGCTGCCCCGGCTGCTGCACCCCGCGCTGCCACGGGGACTGCAGCCCCCGGACCGCTCCTGGGCGCCCTCCAGCCCCGCCCCTCCCGCACCCTTCAGGGGCCCCCACTCTGGACCTCACCTGCTTGTCTCCCCCTCCTCACTCTTCTCAGGAGCTCACTCTTCATCCTGTTCTCGTGTCCCACGCGCCTGACACTCAAGACCCTCCCCAGCCCAGCAGCTCCAACCTCGCTGCGGTGCCTGGCTGTGGGGGATGTTTGGTGCCGGCCCCGCCCCCCGCTAGTGCAGCTTCCAGGATCCCAGCCCCGCTGCTGGGCAGTGCTGCAGCACCCCCGTCCCCTCCCCCCATCCCTGCAGTGGTCCCGGGAGCCGCGCGCCGCAGCCGCAGCATCCCCCTCCCCTCTGCACTGAGCTGGCCGCTGCAGCAGCCCCGGCCCCCCCACCCCCGCCCGCGGCGCCGAGCCCGGCCACTGCAGCCCCCGCCCTGCCCGCCCCCTAGACGCTTCCGAGCTGGAGAGTGCGAGCTCTCATTGGTTGGGGGGGGGGGAGTACGTAGAGGAAGATATCGTGGGGAAGGGGAGCTACTGGTGCCTGAGCCCCCAAGTCTATCCTCTCCTTCCCTGCTGTCAGTTGAGCCCCCAAGTCTATCCTTTCCTTCCCTGCTGTCAGTTGAGCCGGGATGCAGTTGGTTGAAGCCCTGTTGTGGGGGTTTGAGCCTCACTTTCCTCACCCTCCCCCATGGCTGAGGGAGATTTCTCTCAGGGGGTAGACCCTCTTTCTAGTATCTCTTCCTCTACCCCCAACTATTCGTGCTGCGGAAGGGCAGAGGCTCTCTGCCCCCTTCCCTCCGTCTCTTGGCCGGACCACAGGGCTATTAGTGAGATGCAGCACGTGTGTGTTTTGAAGCATCGCCCACCAGCTCCTGATGTGCAGCCTGACACTGGGGGGCCGTAGCTTCTTCTCGAGGACTGGATGAGGGGGTGGCAGTGAGGGCAGTGGGGTGGCACTCCACCTCTCGTCCGTTCAGGGTCATGCAGTGGCCACATTCTTCTGCCTGATGTCACGGTGGTGGTCACTACCCTGGTGGGGGGGTGTGATTTTGACTAAAGGTCTGATGATGGGCGCGTCGCTTCTTTAGACCGCAGTTGTGCCTGTGTCACTCTGCCATGCTCTGTGTCCCAGTTCTTTCCCCCTTTTTCCTCCAGGGGTGCTTTCTCTGTGGTCCGCAGGTGTGTGAAGAAAACCTCTACGCAGGAGTATGCAGCAAAAATCATCAATACAAAGAAGTTGTCTGCGCGAGGTGAGTGTTCCTTATCTTGGCCTCTCCCTGGGGGTGCCTCCAAGAGCCTTGACTTCATCTGAAGATGCTCCAGGAGTTGGGGGTTGTGTGTTTTACTGCTTGGAGGAGAGTTGGAATTTTAGGATGGAGGGACTTTGAAGCCAGGCAAGGAATGGCTTTGGGAACTGGAAGTGCTCAGATAGAAAAGAATGAAGGAGATGTAAGAGATGTAGGTGGCTGCAAGGAGGAGCGCTCCCCAAAGGCTCAAGGGAGTTTGGTCCTTAGGGGGGAGGTGGGGGATATGGAGGGTGGTGGGTGGCACAGAATGGAGAGCTCTTGATTTGGGGCAATTGGAGCTTGTCTCTTTGGGGCAGTAGTAGCCACTCCAGGCCTATCCTAATCCCTAGGCTCCAGTGGTGATTTAGGATGGAAATGCAGTAAGTGAGCAGCTCTGACAAATCCAGCCTCCCCCTGCCCACCAGGCGGTGGAACAGACTCCCAAGGGAAGGATAACAGTAAACATCAGGGGAGGCTGCTACTGGCGAGGGCTTTTCGGGAACAAATCCTGCCAGATGAACTTGATTGCTTTTTTTGATCAAATTACAAAGTTGGTGGTGCAGCAGCAGATGCAGTCTATCCTGGGTGGAGGGTGATGCCTCATGGTCTGGAGAGCCCAACGGCTTGGTCTGGTGAGAGCAGCAAGGGTCTGGGTCTGAGGAGCTGGGAAGGCCCAGGCCTCGGAGTCAGACATGTGAGGCTGGGAGGGTAGGGCCTGTCTTTCACACCTAGAAAGTACACTCCCTGAACCTCTTATTGGTTGCTTGCCAAACTCACCTCATCTGATAGGTGTAGACCCAGCAATGTGTGAAGTACGCTGAGTAACAGGTCTGGTGAGTAAGGAAGTATGTGGATGGGTCAGGTTGTCGAGGGCTGCAGGGTGCAGCTGGAGGACAAAAGTTATAAGATTCAGAGAAAAGAATTAGGGCTGGACAATGGGATGCCATGAGTACATTAGGAGCCAGGATAGATGCCTTGGGGAGGACGTGGGCTATGACCAGTAATGACACAGGCATCTGGGCTAGGGGATGTAGTAGATGTCCCCAAGCCCTCGGAGAAGCTATGAAATTCCACAGAGCTGACAGCAGGCTTCTACCATGCTGACAGTTCTGGGACCTGTTTACCAGGGCCGCGTCTACCACCTGGCTGGGAGGTGCTCTCTCTGTCCCCATCAGCAGGGCTTGCCTTGCCTTTTCCCACCCAGGCCCTGTCTCTTGCTCTTCCCGTACATGGCTATAAAGTTGACTTATTTGTTTATTTTCTTTCTCTCTGGGTACCTTGAGTCTGAGGCGATGGTTGCCATAGAGATATGTGGGTGGTCAGATACCCTCCTCCCCTGGGGATGGCTGATGTGGGCTGGGCTCTTTGATAGACATCCTGTGGGCAGGGGTGATGGATTGAGAATGGCCACATCCCCATGCCCACAGGCATCGCCCTGGTACATCAGAAATGGGGCCGGTGTCTGGTGCCTCAGTTAATGATGCAGTGCTTTGCTTTCTGCATCTTACCAGTGTCCTCTGACCCAGGGGTGAGGGAGGGGGAGACAGCAGAAGTCTGGGGATGTGAGGATAGTCTGGTGTGGTGACTTTGGGAGCTGCCTGCCCTGGGCTTCTGTTTTTCTACTCCTTCCCTGCCCACCTGAACGACCCTAACAGTGTGATGATGTCCCTTCCCCTTCTTTCTACCTTGCCCCATCTTTCCCCGCTGGTATCTATCTTTCCTGCCCAAACTGGACTAGGTTTGATTTCTCTTTGATTTTTTTTCCTCAGGAAGAGGATTTTTGTGTAAGATCATATGTTTCTGACAGCAGCTCTTACTCTCTTGAGATGGTTATGCCAAGACTGGGGCTCTGTTTTGTGACTGGTGTACCAGGTTACTTTGGGACAGGGGCCTGGTCCTGGCTGATAGGCACAGGTGCAAAGAGAGGGCTCAGGGATGTGTAAATGCTGGTACAGTGTGGAGGTGGGAGAGTGGGAGGGTGTTGTTGTGGAAATGGAGAGAGCAAGCGGGGAGCTGGGCTGTCGGTGTGGGCATGGGGAGGTGTGAGTCCCTGGAGAGGGTTGGACCAGGCTACCCACTAGGCTGGTGCCCATGGGGTTAAGGAGTCAGGCTGTGGCTTCCTTGTGGCCTCTCAGTTTACGCTGTATATTTTATAAAGGTGCAGCAGCTGGGGCTGGGTTTCACTCACTGCTGTCTGTCTAGGGCTCTGCAGGTGTTGGATTTCTGTGTCTGGGAATGTAGTGGGCCCACCAGGGCCATGCACGAAGGGTCTGAGGGGCTTGCTATGTTTGCTGAGTCTCCCTGCCTTTTTTCTTTCGTGTTTGTGATTCTCTCTGCTGCAAACCCAAGGAAGGAAACAGAGTATAGAGCTGCTTCTCCTTGGCATCGATGGTGAGGTAGTCCAGGAGGCACGGGGAGAGAGCACCTGTTCCTCCGGGGGGTCAGAGCTGGGTGGGAAGCCTTCTTCTGGTCTGTTGTTCCTTGTCATTGTGGCCTCAAAGGTCCACCTTGTAGCTGGCATGTAGGGAAGGGAGTTCATGCAGTACATTGGGCACGGTTTTTGTTTTTAGGCCTGTCTACGTGAAGTCATTGAAAGTCACATAACGTCACTCTGTTTGCTTCAAAACAGCGATAGGTGTGCAGCTGGGGCTCTTAACAGAGTCCATGGTTCCAAGCTGAGCTCCACTAGACTGAAGGAAGCATTTAAAACAGGCTTGGATGCAGGCACTAGTGAGCCAGGTGATGGCAATGATAAGTCGTTATTTTAAGATTTAAGAGCATCCCCCAAGGAGCCTGAGCCCTTATGTCTTTTTCTTATTTTTAAATCTTCATCTTCCCTTCTTATCTTTATTCATATGCATACATATTCTCACCTCGTGGAGCATAACATTTTATATCCTACTTTTTTCACTTATATTCAAGGCATTTTTCTCATATTGCTATAGTTGAAGGGCAAACGGTCCTTTTGCTCTTCCTACATTGTTTAGGATTTATCCTCGGAATACACAAGAAACCTTTGTATTTGGACCATTTATCTGATTCCAGTTGCTTTCACTAAGATGGATATTGGGGTAATGCCCTTGGCCTTACTAAGAAATGCCACGAGAAATAGTATTGTGAAATCTGTTACAGCACCCGAGATATGTATATATACGTGTGTGTGTGTATATGTATTTTCTTTCTCTGTATGCTTCATATAAAGAAATTACTATTGAAGCTAAATGTAAGCAAAGCTTTCTTCTTCCTGAGGACCTGTGAGGTGAGGGTAGAGACCATATCTGTTTCTTTACTTCTGTGTGGGCAGGGCCTAGCCAAGTGCCTGGTACATACTGAACGCATACATGTTAAATGACTGGATTAAGAGGACTACGTAACCAGTCATGGTTGCCTTCTGGCTTTGGCTCCCAGGAAACTCAGAGCCGAGTTGGTGGAGCCCTTGCACCTGGTACTGGCTGGGGCTCCTCCTTTCTGATGCAGGGAGCCAGGCTGCAGACCTGACACGGATTCTGGAGGGTCACCAAAGCTGGAGGGGAGGACAGATGAGGTTAAAGACCTGCGCTTGGGCCGTAGGCAGGCTGGGTGATCTAAGGAGACAGTGTAGCTAATAATCTTTCCTTCCCTGTCGTTAATGACCTTATAGGGACACTTTTGGGACACCCTCTAAGTAGTGATTTTCAAATGTCCTGTGCGTAAGGATCACCACACGTATTGCTGAAAATGCAGATTCCTGGGTTTTACCGCCATAGATTTTGCTTCAGGAGGTCTAGGGTGGGGCCCAAGAATCTGCATTTTTACCAAGTTCCCCAGTGAATTTCAGCAGATGGTCCCTGAACCATGCTTTAAGAAATGCCATCTAAAATCAGCAGCAGCAACAGTTACTCTTGCAGTGCTGTCTGGGATTTACCAGACACACCATGGCATGGCCCTCTCCAGGTGACTTCTCTGCCTGTATGTGGCTGTCGGTCCACACAGACTGACTGCTTGGTGAGTAGGGGCCTCCCTCCGGGCCTCCTCAGTGGGGTGTCAGTCCGTGTTGGAAGCTGCAGCAGGCCGAGTGGCTGGGGTTGTTGGCCACCAGAAGGGCAAAGGCTGTCCCTTTCTGGGCCCAGCTGGCCTTAGGGACTGAAATGGGATCCCCCTGGGTGGTGCCAACTGAAAGTCCCCACCCACTGAGTGTTGACCTGAGTAGCCCCCATGACATTTGTGTCTCCTGGGGTATCTCCAAGTGCGACTTTCCTGTTAAGGATCTGGGTGAAGTGAGGGAAAGGGAAGGGAGAGTGAAGCAGTCATGGAGGGAAGGGAGAAGGTAGAGAAACCTATGCAACACTGGAATGCTGGGATTTAAGGAAGCATTTAAGGAGGCCGAGTGCAAAACCGTGCCTTCCTCCTGAGGATCACAGAGGCCAATTTCTGTGAAGAGAGCAATGGGCGTCCTATGTATTAGTGATTGAACGCCTCTGACTCCTTTCCCTAAGTTGATGAGGAGCTGGCTGGAGGTCCCTTCGGAGGTCCCCCAGCATAAGGGCCCATTTCCTCACACAGTCATGATGCGAGCTGTGTGACTTCACTCTCATAACACTGACCTGTGACTGCCTTTCCCCCCACCCTCCCAGAGTGACTTTGGTTGCTGGCATCATGTTGGGGGATGGAGGCTGGCAGATGGCCCCATCCCTTAGGAGAGGCCTCTGCTTGCGTCTTGCTGCCTGCTCTGGTGCCTGTCACCATACCTTGTCAGAAACCGTGCTCTGAGCCTCAAGGCCATGCTGAAACCCTAGAGGTGCGTGGCTGACCCCATTCTCTGCTGAGGCCGGAGACAGGGAAGGGGAAGAGTGGGTGTGACTGGCTCCTACCCCATCTCTGTGCTCTGAACAGCCTTGGCAGCCCGACGGGCCTGATTCCATGGGTGCCAAAAGGCTGGTGACAGGAAGAGATTGGCACTTTGCACTTCTTGAGAGCCTGTCTTG